AAACCCAAAAAGACAAACACATCAACATTCTATGATGCCGATGCTTGCAAACAATTTATTGTGGTAGCGTTGGTAATCCTACCCGTGGATCTTGCATTTCGATAGGGTTTCAGCTTATGCGACAAAAGTCGATGTAATTGCGAAAGTGACTCACAAGATTATCCAGGTACGATCAATAAAGTACTATAGGCTCTCGTCTCAAAGGAGGCAACCATTTTTCGTGCTGGTCTATCACATTCACTCTCATACTTTACACTCCTGTCCTCGTTGCATAAACAAACTTACACTCGTCTTGACCAAGACAACGAACATCTAGATACAAGACTGTATCAGCTAGACAGATCCATATTCGTCTTACTAGTTGGTGGTGGTGTTGTCACTTGTCCCGACGACAATGTGCATGTTTGAACTACATTGCCTCCTCTTAATCCAACGAATAAAGTTCCCGTATTATCCACGGCTATGCCACCCGTATATCCGACTTGGAGAACTGGAATACCAGTGCCATTCGTACCGGGAGGAAATTTTATGACGCCTCTCGTAGCACCGAGGTACACCGTATCACACGCGTCAACGTAAAAACCAATTGCTGTATTGAAACCATTTGTTTTCTGCCCATTGCCGGCCACAACAATGCCGGTCGATGAACCAGACACAAATTTGAGAACACGATAATTATTTGAATCGACAACGAACATGTTGCCTTGCTTGTCAAAGCGAACATCTATAGGAAAATCAAGTTCCTTCAATCCGCTGCCTGCTTTGCCACCTGCGTTGCCCGCCACGGTGCATCCGGTCGTAGCACTGGGTGCCCATCGTACTACACGGTTGTTGTGACCATCCGCTATGTATATGTTTTCTGCACAATCGACAAACAAACCATAGGGATAGTTGAGTTGATTTTGAGCTGAGCCGCCACCGTTTCCCCCAGCTACCACCACTCCAACGGTCGCCCCATTCGCACCCTTAGCATACCGTTTTATTTGATGATTGAATGTATCCGATACGTACACATAATTTGAGGTAACATATACACCCCATGGATTAACAAGATTCGAGGCGACGACGGTGGGTTGAGTAGCACTAATTGGGTTATTATCCAATTTGAACTTTTCAACGTTTCCTTTATTTGCATTGACTACATACACGTATCCGGAATCCGTCGCTATGTCGTAGATGTTATTGAGACCTGATGCCACGGTAGTGAGACTTGCTTTGCATACTCCATTACATATTGGTGATACGGCAAGGCACGATGTTTGAGCTGAACGATAAAACAAACACGTAATTAATGATATGGAAACTTATCGAAATGTGATAATAAGAAGAAGAAGGCCTCCGTGATTTTTTGTAAGAAGAAGAATTATTTGTAGTTCAGCAAGTGAATTTGCGTACGTTTGTACCTGTCGGAACAAATGCTGAAGGAAATGTTGTAGAAAAAGTGGGGTGGTGCGGATAAGGTTTTGATGTGCGTGATAGGAGCTAGAATCGACGGTTGCACTCTGATGCAAATGTAGAGTACAGAAGGAAAAGAGGTTTTGATTTCCTCTGTAATACAATATTTCTGTTTCTGAATCAGGTGAAGTAGAATATTACATGATAGATTGATCAATATATTCCCGTGCGCTGTGTAAGTTAAGCTGAAAGGGTTTTTCACTGAAACATTAAGATGAAAAAACAGTGTCTTATAATTGTAAATTCGAAACTTTTTTTCCATTTTTTGGCTTGTCCAGCTAACGGTCCGCTCCTTTCGCTCATGTTTGAAAAATTATTGCCATAAAGCTGTAAACTAATCCACAATTGGAACTAAATAATTAAGTAGATTAAACATTTCTCTACAGAATGAAAAGTGTCTCAGCTCTGAGTGTTGATTCTTTATGAAAATACACGTGTTGTATAAACAGTTCAAAAAATCAATCTGGGGCTGTCCAAAAAACGTGTCTAATAGAGTGAGGAAGAATAGAGCAAAAATTCAACCAGTATACCAGTTTATAGAAAAAACACATTTCAAATGTGTCACAGCATCACGGTTTTTCTGTTTTTTCTTTGATTAATACAGATTAATTAGAATAGTTCCGAACTTAAAAGGCTATCACATCTTGTAGAGCAAACAATTTTCTATAAACTGGTATACTGGTTGAATGTTTGCTTGCTCGTCTTCACTCTTTTAGACACGTTTTTCGTATAGGCCCAGATCGAGTTTTGGGGCTGTTTGTACAACAGCTGTAGTTTCATAACAAATCAACGTTCAAAGCCGAGACACTTTGCATTTTGTAGAGAAATGTTTAATCTATTTAAGAGAGGGTCCACGAGATTACTCCTTAAGTCGGCCGGAGACAAAATTTATTTTGGACGATCATACAAAAAAGCTGATCAGTCCCTAATAGCAGCTTTTGAAAATGCATTGTTCAAAAACTGGGCACCCATAAACTTTTATCAGTCTTGAAAGAGTGGTAAAAATGACCATTTTTCAATAATATCCGTATCTTTCAATTTTCTCCGAAAGTATCAAACCGTTATGATCGGTTCAGGTCTCATTTGAAAGAGAAATGTTTACTCTATAAGATTATATATTTAGACATAATAATATTTTAACTATCTAGAACTAAATAATAGAAAACTAAAACTTCCATAATTTTAAAATTGCATTTTTCTCAGTACTTTTTAAATACAGGCCCTGCATATGGCTGCCACAAACTAAATCTGACTACATTTTGTAGAGTAGGCAATTCTACATCGCTTTATATGTAATATAAAACTTTAAAACACTAGGGTGACGTATGGTAAATCAAATATTGGAGACAGGCATAGGTTCATCATTTTGTTATTTTTCTGGATATACAAACTATTTTTGAGTCCTCACAGATATAGAGAAAACATTTTTCTACTAAATGAAACGTCGGCGAGCTCTTTGAGATGGTTTTTTATGATTTTACACGCATTTTACGACAAGCACTGTATTTGAGGCTCGTTTCCTACTGGCTTTTACCTCAGTTTTGATCTACTAACATACTAGATGCGCGATCGAGTGAAATTTTTGCTAAATTTTGACCTATGCCAGTAAGTTCTCTTTTTGTAATTAAGAATTTTTCACTCAAGTTGAATTTTTTCACAATATAATACTCATAAATGTTTTTGAAAGTAAGATGGACTGACTACGTCGTTCCTAAAAGTAATTAACAAGCAAGACGAGTTCCTAACAAAATTCGAGGAATTAATAACAGTTGTCTCTACCAAAGTATTAGTGAATAACTATCTTTTTACCTGTTTCAAAAACCGTACACTGTGGAGAGCTGATATTACCGCAAACTAGTCTCGTGTTGGCAGGTGGTAATTCACGTTTGTCTCGTGTTTCCAGATTGACACCGTCCCTATTTACGTCATATATTGCTAGGTTAAATGGATTAGAAGCTAAAAGAAAATACAAAGCGTTAAAGATGTATAATTTTCATAAATCGGCCTTGGTGGTTATTATTCTTCATATTTCTACAGCCTTTATCCAAAAAACGGCACACAGTTTCCTAGGATTGTAAAACAAATTGTAGCGTGTGAGAAAGTTGAGAGCCAAGCGCACAGGATTGTGATATCTAAAACTTTAAACAGGAGCGATATCTACAGCTGAGACCTACGCCTTCTTGTAGTCCATAATGAGTAGTGTACAAGATAAGATATAAAACAACAGCAGATCTGCATAGACCTGCTGGAAACTCTGAGTGGAAGTAGATTATAATCAGATATCTTGACTCATGAGTTGAATTAAATACGTCTCTTCTCAAAGTCGAAATTAATGGCTTAAGGTTTACATTTGTATATATCGTACTGAAGTTAGCATGTTTATCGAAGTCATAACTTCGATAAAAATGCATTGTAGTTACAACTTCGATGCGGGATTTTATCGAAGTTGTAATTTCAACAAATTCTTTTATCGAAGTTACAACTTCTATAAACATACTTCATCGAAGTTATAACGTCAATAAGGTGGGTTATCGAAGCTGTTTTGATTAAGCTAAACGGTAACTAACTGATTACTTGAATGACATTATCAAAATTTCGTTCAAATCTGTTAAAAAGAAAACTGGAATATCCTCATCAATTACAACTACTAACTTACATCGGCTCCGAGTACACGTTCTTCCACAGCAATAACAACAGTTATTGAGAATACAACATGGAAATATGAATTTAGGCTATAGTTATAGAAGTGGACAAGAAATAGCACTCTTAAAAATATGCGGCCTCATTAATGCTGGTAGTCAGCAGAAATTAATTGAAAAGATTAGTTCATCAGCAGCACTACACATAGCACTATATAGAGACGGGCAATATATCTAATTTATTCAATACAAGATGCTGCAAACAGCTTTGTTTATGTGCTTACTCTCAGTTTGAGATAAATGTGTTATTACTAATACCAATATAATTGTTGTTGTATAACATATCATTGCCATCGAGCTAAAACGTGACAACCCAGAAAATGGTCGTGCAGGCAGCTAACCAAGATTCCTGTTGAAGAAAAAAAAACATAATAAAAATATAAATTAAATTAAACAATATAAATTAAAATATTGTCATTAGATAAATAGTGTTCATTAGAACGAAGAGAATTGGATGTACCAATAATAACTAACACTAGGATCACACCTACAGCCTTAATCACGATTAGTGTTAACCGCTATGAAATGTATGCATACTTATCAAATTGAAAGATAAAATGGCGGAAATAGTATGAGATTGGATATTGATTATAAAGCCAATAAATTGACTAGCAATTAATTATTCCTTTCTTGTTTATTCAGTTTAAGTCGTTCCTGCTTATCTGCTCATTATCTTCTTTTCCATCATTCTTTCGATTAAGGGGTTCAAAGTGATTATTGAAAGTTCTCAACGTGCAGCTAGTGAATAAATACAGCCCTCAGTTGCGCTGTATCTCGCCTGTCTTGAGCGTATATCTTCATTTATAACCGCGAGTTTTTTAAGTTTTTTTAAAGAGTAGTTGTTCAGTTACGTGTTTTGGAGATAATTTCTTTGATCAAAAATGATATCAAGCACACCACGTGAAGGAAACGAAAATAGTGGAAAAAGGAAACGCAGATCATGGTCCGAAAACGAAACAACTGCATTGGTAAACATACTGAAAGAGGACAAAATCGCGCATGAAATGGAAAGGCATCGAAATAGAACACTGCGTATTTATTTGCTGTTCTTAATCACGATCAGACTTTAATCATGATTAGCGCGGTCACATTGCTTATTTAACCGTGATTAAAATAGTGTTAATCATGATTAAAAAAGGATGTGGTCACACTACAAAATCGTTAATCATGATTAAGGCTGTAGTGTGACCCTAGTGTATGTGCAACAAGAAATGAACTAAAGAGTAGTAAGCGCAATGAAGATGCATACTACACCTAAAAACACCATGAAACTAGTCAAAAACCACTCACGAGGAAACCTCCCGAAATGTCTTCTCGTTTTTTAACTTAATGTAGTAGGTTATAGGTGACCGACATGCTGATTTCGAATATGATGTTCATTTGGGCCAATAACCTTTCCTAGCCCGTTTCTGGAAAACTCGAGAAATCCTCACAACTTTTTCTAAACAGGCTCGTAAAATTCTGATCAAAATGAGTCATCTCACAGCTCTACACGATCTTTCATTGCCAAGGTATAGAGTTTACCAGAAAAGCTCTACATGTTCATTGTCACCTCAGAGCTACAGAAAAAAAGGAAAAGTTAATTCAGAGCTTTTCTTGTTTATTCTATAACTTTGCAAAGAAAGGTCGCGTAGAGATAGGAGATGTTTCATTTTGATCAGAATTTTGCGGACTACAATTGTGACTTATTTAGAAAGGGTTTTGGGAATTTTTCGAGATTTCCGGAAAACTGGTTTTCCATAAACCGGCTACAAAAAGGACTATAGGCCCAAATGTATATCATATTCGAAATCAGCGTGGTCGATTACCTGTGGTCTACTACATTTCGATAAAAAATGAGGGGACATTTGGAAAGGTTCCCTCGTCAGTCAGCCTGTGGGGCTGGTTGACGGAGAATTTGGCTAAAACAGGCAAAACAGCAGCAATTCATCAACAAATTTCGCATAGCGAATGATCGTTATAGTCCAGGTTTCACCTTTCCACACATTCTAAGCCCGCCGTTCAGTAAGAGTACAATTATTCTGAGTAGCTCTAATTTTACTTTGTATTTTATGAGATTCTTGTTTATTGTAGTTCTGGTGATTTAATGATGCTGACCGTTGTCGTTATTAATGGAACACCTGATATGTAAGTACATACTTAACTCTCACTACTTATAGGCTGACTATATGCGCATCCTCGTTAGCGATGCATAAAAAGTTAATCATTTTGTTTTTTTATAAAACCCACTTTCACTGTTCTTATTAATATTTTGTTCTAAAGCCTATGCATCATTAATCACCTTATGCATAAGAAAAAGAAAATCTAGAAAGTAATTCAATCCAATATTGTTCATATCGGATTAAACTGCTCTGTATTGTTACTTAGCAAATACTCTGAGTATGATAGTTAATATAAAGCCATATTAAAACCAAAATCATTCGATGTAATTTTACTCTCTGATTCCAAATATCATCCTGGTTTTCCTCACAGATAATTTTGGGCTGAGAAAAATGAATCTTACCTGGAAATCTCGTATCGAAGTCCAGAAACGACAACCCTATTTGGCGCTGATTTCATAGATATTGGGTACATAGGATAACATTTTATTAAAATTTTCTACGACCAGGAAATCTGCGACACTCATCATACTCGAAACCTTTGTTGGGAAAGCTTGTCAGTTTGGAAAACAGTTTTATTTCTCAGAAGACGTATATCCAAAACACAACACGTTTCAACTAACAGATAGTGAACCTAGGCTCGATTCACTAACTCAGTTACTTTTAAGTGTAACATCGGCGGATGCCTTTACCTAGAAAAGAAACTTTTAATTCGTGCCCTTGGGTTTCAGACCAATTTTTGGCACGGTATTTTACATTTTCTGCTGATGTTTCCACGAGCATATTCTTTACATTGACCATTCAATACAGACAGACTTGAAATTTCCATCCTCCAAATAGACATTATCATAGCCCGATTGGTTTTAGACAAGTTGTTTACGAAATATAAAAATTTCCTTTACACCTTTTAAATTTACAAACTTCAATAAAAAATTTAAATTTATTTTAAGTACATAAAATTTCCCATGGGTATCTCGAATAAAAAAATTTTATTTCTACTCAGCTAATAAAATCTCTGTAATCATGATTTCCATGTCGCAAATTCAACCTTCCCAGTGTTTAGTTACCAAATCGATCACAACCAAAATGTGTATTTTTTCTTTCTCAATACAAAGAATAAGATTGGCCGATGGTATTATTTCTATACTGTTTCCTACTATTTTCTGATAGAGTTTTCACCGGCATATTCTTTTCGTTGATCATTAAATACAATTCAATGAATTTTGTGTGTATTTTTTTCCAAAATGTGTATTTCTTCTTTGTCAATAACAAGAATAAGGTTAAGAGAAAGGTATATTTTCATAGTGCCCATGGGAAAATTTTACTACATTGCGCGACGTGCACGCTGGTGAGCGTCGTGAAATGAAATGTTAGCGCAAATGA